AATTTAACTTATTTCTTTATCTCTGTCCCTTTCTTTCTTTCTCTTGTCTGATTGCTCCACCTGATGTTTCCAGAACTATGCTGAACAAAAGTAGTGATAGTGACATCCTTGTCTTTTTTCTAATTTAAGGGAGAAAACTTTCAGCTTAACATTATGTTAGTCATAGATGGTTTATCATAGACAGTCTTTATCAGAGTAAAATAAGGACCTTTGTAATGGATGCTGAATTTTATTTTTTAAATTAAAGCTTACTGATACATTTTAGTTATACATAATGATCATATTCATCATAGGAAATTTGTATTGTACATGATGTATTTTATGGTTGCGGAATTTTATCAAATGCATTATCTGCTTCTATTGAGATGATCCTGTTGTTCTTGTCTTTGGGTCTATTTATGTGGTGAATTACAGTTACTGATTTCCATATATTAAACCATCCCTGCATCCCTGGAATGAACCTTACTTGGTTATTGTATATGATTTTGTTGATGATTTGCTGCATTGTTTGCTAGGATCTTATGAAGAAGTTTTATGTCTATGTTCATGAAAGAGATTGGTCTTTAATTCTCTTTTTTGGTTGGGTCTTTTTCTATTTTGGAATCAGGGTAATGCTTGCTTCTAGGAATGACTTTAGAAGTACTGCTTCCCTTTCAATTTCATTAGTTTGAGAGATATTGGCAGTAGATATTCACTAATGTTTTTATAGAATTCAACAGTGAATCCATCAAGAACCCAGGCTTTTCTTAGTTGGTAGTTTTCTTAAATTACTGTTTCAATTTCACTGACTGATACTGGCTTATTTTAAAATGTTTTATTTTCTTGGTTATCTTTGTTTATATGTATTAGGAATGTATCCATTTCTTCTGAGTTTTCCGTTTTACTGGAGTGAAAATTCTCAAAGTAGTTACTGATAATCTTTTGAATCTCCAAAGAATCAGTTTCACCTTTTTCATTTCTAATTGTATGGATTTTAGTCTTTTCTTTCCTTTTTTAAATAAGATTGACTAAGAGTTTGGCTATTTGTTCAGTCTTTCAAAGAACCAACTCTTTGATTCATTGATTCTTTGTATCTTTTTAGCCTAGTTTTATTAATTTTTGCCCTGATCTTTATAATTTCCTTCCTTGTGCTAGCTTTGGATTTAAATTTTTCTTGTTTTTCTGGGACCTTGAAGTGAATCATTAGATCATTCATATGACCATGTTCTGTTTTCCTAATTCACTGCTATAAAACTTCCCTTTTACGACTACATTGATTGTGTCCAACAGATTCTGTTATGTCACATTGGCATTATTGTTTGATTGTAGAAACTGTCTAATCTCTCCTTAATTTCATCTGTGACCTACTAATTGTTTAAGAGGATATTATTTAATTGCTATGTATTTGCATAGTTTCTGTAGTGTCTTCTGTCATTAATTTCTAGTCTCACTGCACTGTGGTCCAATAATAATATATGGAATAATTCCAGTTCTTTTGCTTTTATTTAAGCATGCTGTATGAGCTAATATGTGGTCTAATTTGGAGAAAGTCCTGTGTGCTGCTGAGAAGAATGTGTATTCTATTGTTGGTTGGAATACTCTGTAAATATATATTAGGTCCTCTTGTTCAAAGCTTTAGTTCAGCTCTTGATGTTTTATTGAGTTTTTGCATAGTTGATCTGTCTGTTTATGACAGTGGAGTGTTGAGACCCCCATTAAAATTTTTTCTTCCTTCCTCCCTCCCTCCCTCCCTGCCCTTTTCTCCCTCTCTCTCCCCTCCCTTCCTCTCTCTCACCCCTTCTCCCTCTCTCTCCTCTCTCTCCTCTCTCTCCTTTCCTTTCCTTTCCTTTTTCCTTTTTCCTTTTTCCTTTTTCCTTTTTCCTTTTTCCTTTTTCCTTTTTCCTTTTTCCTTTTTCCTTTCCTTTCCACTTGCCAGGCAGGCTCTGTGCCACCAAGCTATATCCCCAGACTTCCCCCATTAAAATTATCTTGGTGTTTGTATTACTGAGTGTTCAGTTCCTTGTATATTCTGGATATTAAGCTTTCATCAGGTGAATAATTTACAAATATTTTCTCCCATTCTGTAGGTTGTTTCTTATTCTGTTTTTTTTTTTTTTTTTTTTTTATGCAGAAGTTCCTTAGTATCAAATTTCATTAGATCTTTTTGCTTGTGCTTTTGGGGTCTTATCAAAAAACTACTGATACCTTAAAGTGTTTCCTGTATGTTTTCATATACACTTGGGTATGTAAATTAGTATAACCATTATGGAGAACAGTATGAAGGTTCCTCAAAATAAAAGTAAAACTACATATGGTCCAGCAATACCACTTCTGAGTATATGTCCAAAGAAAATGAAATTAACGTACAAAAGCGATACCTGCATCCTGAGGGTTTATTGGGGTCCTAGTCACAATATCCAAGTCATGAACTTAGTCTAGGGTGCCCATCAAAAGACATATACATAAAGAAAGTCTGTTGTGTAAATACAAATACAAGTATAATGAGATAATTTATTTAGTCATAAAAAATGAAATCCAGTTACTTGGAGCAAAAATTGATTGAAACTAGAGGACCTTATATTAAGTAAACCAACTAGAGAAAGGTAAATACAGTACCATTTTCTCTCCCAAGTGGAAGTTCACATAAAATTATGATCAATTTGGGAAGGTTGGGAAGGGAAAGAGGAAAAGGATTAGAAGGTTTGATAATGGGGCCACAACACAGATAACAAAGAATAAGCTCTTGGTGCTTCAGCCAGAGGAAGGACTATAGTTCACAACAGCCTGTTCTGTATTCTGTGATGATCTAGAATTGAAGAGCTTAGAGGGCCCCAGACATAAAGAAATAAGAATTCAGAAATGCTCAATACTCTGACTTAGTCAGTACATGCCATCTGTGTGTTGAAAGATGCTATACTTCATAAATATGTACAATTATTATGTGTTAAAACAAAGGTTTTTATGCTTTTTTATGCAGATTTGTGAAATAGGACAGAAAAACCAGTATCAAGATTGATAATTTAAGCTTTATAAAGTAAAAAATACTTCATCAAAAAATTAGGTTTAAACTGGACATAGTAGCGCACACCTCTACTCCCAGCATTCTACCAGCCTGAAGGAGGCCGATTGGGAGTTCTAACCCAACCTAGGCCACTTGACAACTTCACAAGACCCTGTCTCAAAATATAAACACAAAAAAGGATATTTTAGTGCAGAGGCTCTGGTTCAGTTCCCAGTGTGTGGGAGGCAGGTTGCACTGAAAGAGTGGCAGAGCCTGGGAAAAGATACCTGCCATGCGTATGTATCTCAAAGGACTCAGACCAAGGTTTGTTAAAGAATAATCAGTATTAAGATTAACATTGACAACGTATTTCTAAATTGTAAGAAGGCCTAAACAGGGATCTCTTTAAGGTATTCAAATGTTGGGATAAGCACATGGAATAGTCCTCAGAATTGTCAGTCACCCTAAAAAATACACAAATGTGTGCTTCAATAAGTGACCAGCACACTCCAGATAGGTAACTCGAATGAGCAAGATGGGAAATGCAGTGTTGGTAAGGGTATCAGTAGAACTGGGATGGAAGTATAATTTCCTAGAACTGATTTGAAAGCCTGTCAGCCAGCATCTGTTAAAGCAAATCTACTCTTGAGCAGAAACCCAAGGAAAATGATTGCTTACTTTCTCAGGCATAATGTTCTCAAAAAAGAAACAAGTGTATATTTAAAAAGAGAATTTTTAAACTCTTAAAATGTTAAAAATAAATGCATACTTGAGGGAAAAGTAATTTTTAAGCAGTAAATTGGAAAATATTGGTAGCTGTGTGTCTTCTGTTGATATAAAACTGGTGCTGTTTTTTTGAACCTAGAATTGTCAAAATAAAATTTGTTACTTCATATTATCACCTCAGAAAGTGTACAAAAGAGATTGTTTTTAATTTTATTAGCAGCTTTTTACTGTTCGTGTGGACCCTTATTTAGTAAAAAGGAATTTTTAAAAAATTTTAAAGTGTATTTCAGCCCATTTGTACTTTTATTCTTTGGCCAGCGTAACTCATCAGGTTGGTCCTGTGTCTTTTTCTTTTTTTCCCCGGTACTGAGGATTGAACCCAGGACCTTTGCATTAAGCTACAACCCCAGCCTTCTATTTTTTCTTTTGAGAAAGGGTATTACTAAGTTGATCAACTTGTAATCCTCCTGCCTCAGCCTCCCAGCATGCTGGGATTGCAGGCTTGTGCCACTATGTCTGCCTCAGTATAGACATTCCTCATTTAATGAACAAGATACATTCCTGTGATTAGGTCATTAAATGAATTGGTTGCTAAATGAGGTATGTTACATTATATATACATTACAATATTGAGAACAAAGAAATGTTCAAAGGAAACTCCAGCTTGATGACTTTTGCTTTTATGTGCATACAGTACTGTAATTTATAAAAGCATAAACCTATAGTATTGTACAGGACAATCAACAGAGATTACAGTACTGTATAAACAAGGTGTAAGGTACCTAAAAGAACATTGAGGCTTTATAAACAAGGTATACTGAACTGTTTAAAAAAACACCCTTTGTAAGTCCAAACAGGTAACAAACTTAGAATATGTGTAGTTACTTTTAAATAACCACTAGATGTCAGTACAATTCAAGTAAGGAATATCTCAACTCACTACTTTTAAATGTTTGAGACAGTAGCAGCTTCAGGAGAACTAATTTAAATTCTTAATTTTGATAAATAATGGTTGGTTTGCATTAGTACTTTTATTTTGTAAAGCCTCTGGAATTTTGAATATTAGATGACAGTAAGAAAGCGTTTGGTTTGATTCTCTTGAAGTAAACCAAAGGGCACCACTTTTCCTCTAAAGTGTTTCAGGTGGAATACCTTTCATACCACTTCGTGTTCACCCTCCTTTGTGTTTGCTGTAGCCCCAGTGTAAACACACACTTTTCTACCTGTGTTACACAGAATTTCACCTGAAATTCCCAATTCATTTTCTCCCACTCATTCCCTCATTCTCTTAAAGGTTCAACCTGGAGAGGGAAACAAAGCTGCCTTCAATGACATGCGAGCGTTGTCAGGCGGTGAACGTTCTTTCTCCACGGTGTGCTTCATTCTTTCCCTGTGGTCCATCGCAGAATCACCTTTCAGATGCCTGGATGAGTTTGATGTCTATATGGTATTGTTAAATTTTAAATGCTTGAATTTTTTTGTTTGTTTGAAATGTATTTTGCAAGGAAGCAAAACTTTCTTTTCTTTAGCTTTACCCATAACAGGAAAGATCCTGCTCTGACACTTTATCTGTGGGGTTAGTGGTGGGGAAGACCGTGGAGTTCTGTTTCTACGCTGCTGCCATGCAATACTGCCAGAGACCCCCATGTCCTGACTTTCCAGAGCCTGACAGACCCTCTGTCCTTCAGCCTCTTCCCCAGCTAAGTTTCCTTGATCCAAAAACATATTCAGGATCTTACCCTGTAACAGAATTGCAGCCAGCTCACCACCCTTACTTTAACACATCCAGCAGATGTTGCTCACCCTGCCTTCACACCACACATTTCAGAAGAGCAGTGCAAGAGCATTGGACTCTGCAGCTAAACCTAACCCCGCCACAGGTCACCCACATGTCTTTGGACCAGTATGTGTCCTTTTGGTCTCAGCTTCTTCGTGTAGAAAATGAGACTGCTGGCATCGCTTACCTCACAGAGTACAGCACAGCTCAAGTGAGGCCCTGCATGTGATGCACTTGTGTGGTGCAGCCATGCAGTAAGTCTTCATAAATAGCAGTTCCTCTTCTCACTGCTTCATGTCTCATTCTGCTCCAGCAAATGTTGTTTAATAAGGTCATCAGTGGTTCATGTTTTACTATATTTGTTAGAGTACTTGGCACTGCAGACCTATTCTCCATCCTTAGAATGTGTCGTCTTAGAGGTTTAGAGGTTTCCACACACCACTTCCTGGTTCTGGCTGCTCTTTCTTCTCAGGCTGTCTGGTTGCCTCCCCTAACTCTGAAGCCCTTCAGTGTTTGAGATTTTCTTTGGTGGTTATGCAGTTGTTGCTTTGCCTGGACGCTGTATCCTCCTGCATGTTCCCTGTACATACACCACCCACAGTCCCCACTGCTAATTCTGCATAATGGCACCTGCCATACTGAGGCCTGTCATCATGACACACCCTAGTACACGGCCAGCATCCCAAACTCACACTGCGTGTGTCTTCCTCTCAAAGCCTTTTTCTTAATTTCCCTGCTTTGATTAGTAGCAGACTCTCATTACCAGCCAGATTGCCTAGTTTCAAAACATGTGACTTACCTGTGACTTTTCCTCCTTTTACTTGTACACTAAGCAGGACCTCCATCTGCTTCTCTCTGAGGGTTCTCCCGGCTCTGCCCTCTGCATTCCCATTGCTGCTCTACTGCTTCCCGTCACACTCCACACTTCCTGCTGCCGTGATTCCCTCTTGTCTGCACTCTCAGGCTTCCATCCTGCTGCTCCTTCACTCTGTCCTCATTGATTTGGCAGGCTGTTTCTAAAATAGATCGGGTCAGTGGCTAGTTACTGTACACAGGATGAAAGTTAATTCTTCTTCAGTAAATGAGACCTTTGGTGATGTGGTATCTGCTCTTCTAGCCCTGTCACCTTTGTGACACTTTCTGTGGTCACCATACCCTATCAGGCAGGATAAGGATCTTCTCAGAGATCCTTGGTACCACCTTTGTTAGCTCATTATATTATTTTACATTTCATATTATAAAACATGTAAGGGTGTTGTTTTTCATTCTGTTACAGTCACCTGTTCTCATGTCTGAACCTCCCACCAGACTGTAACCTTCTGGAGGTCATCAGATTGTCCTCATTGTATTCATGTCTCCTGCTGCTGAACCTGTAGTAAACATGCAGCAAATACACGTAAATCAGGATTTGTGCTTGTAGATGCTGTAAAATCCTTCCTTCCCATCAGTCTTTCCCTTTGATGCCGCAGCGAAAGATGGGTTAGAAATTCCTCTGAGGAGTGCCTTCAAAGCTAATTAAAAGTCAAAGAGGATGATTATCTTTTTCATACACTGTTTTGTAGAGGATGCCATTATGTAGTCTTACTACCCATCTTGGATATCAGATTTAATTCTGAACAGTTTCTTTGTCTTTCAGAAAATACATTCAGGATTGGGGTCCTGATTTGACCATACGTGTTGCTGCATAGTTTCAAATAAAACCTGTAAAGATGTGTGCATGCATTGGTCTGCAATTTCAATTTTCAGGAAGTTTTGAAAGGATTAAGGGCCATTTTGATGTTATTTTTCTACTTAACACCAAATGTGAACACAAAATCTGTTCATTTAGTTTCAAAAACTTGCTGTACCTATGCACTGTTGTTTTCCTCTACATTTATGTTGTTTAACTTTTTAAAATTCAAGAAAGTGGCCTATAAATTCAAGTTGGTTTGCACTGTGCAAGCTGTAGAAGATAGTGAGGAAAGGCAGACCTTTTAAAACATTAGCCCTTAATCATTGAATTTGAAGCACTTAATACATTTGAAACCATATACTTCTGTTACTGTCCTGAGTAATTCAGCCATTGTATATTAATTAGATTAATTCTCTGTTCCATTGTTTTGTATCTTTTGATTAGTTATTACTTACATTTGAGGGAAGGGGCCCTAATACAAATATTTTGACTGTAGAAATGACCTGGAGATAAACTTACTCAGTTGTTTTCCCGTCATAGTTTTTGATACTTTCTTTTTGTTTTGGTTTTTTGGTTTTTCTCTGGTACCGGGGAACCGAACTCACGACCTTGCGCTTGCCAGGCAGGTGCTTTGCCGCTGAGCTAAATCCCCAGCCCCTAGTTTTTGATACTTTCTTTCTGCATATGAATTTCTTGATATCATCAGTAGAATAATGGGTGCAAATCCAGGATTTTGTATCACCAGCTGAATGCTGCTTTTATCAAACTGTGATTAACATAACAGCAGTATTAACTTTTGCCTTTGTTCTTCAGGATATGGTTAATAGGAGGATTGCGATGGACATGATACTTAAGATGGCAGATTCCCAGCGTTTTAGACAGTTTATCTTGCTTACCCCACAAAGCATGAGGTAATTTTTCTGTGAATATATATGAAGTATATCAAAGGGGATATCCATTATGACCTTAGTTTTTAAATGCAAAGACATGATGACCAATGAAAAGAAAAAATAATGTCTTTACTGCACCAACAGATTTAGATCTCCTTTTGCTTATGTTACTTCCCTTCTGTAACTTGGGTAAGTTGGCTAGAATACTACTGACTTGTTAATATTTCTATTTTGAATTTGCTCCGTTGTGGTTATCATACCTGATTAATATAATTGTAGTAATTCTGTGTAGGACAATCAATCCAGGATTTTTCTAGTCTTGGCCCTTTTGGTGACTTACAAATCATGGTCTTTTTAAATAAAGAGCTCTATTCTGTTGTCTGTCAGCATTTATTGAGTGCCTACAGTCTGTCAGGCACTGTTACTTACAGTTGACATTCTGTCTCTAAAGTGGTCTGGTGCTTTTGTGGAGATTTCAACTTGTGATTAGGAATATTCAAGTAACTCCTTCTTGGCTAGACAAGGGCAGGAGTTAAAAATAGTTGATATATAAATCTCCCTTATTTTTCCTCCAAACTGAAAATGTATAGGTTTTAGAAGGAAGTTAATGTTTAAAATGAAAGGAAAGTATTTCCTTACTGCAAATTATATTTCTTCTAGAACTCTTAATGTTACATGTATCCCACTGTTAGCAAATGGGAAGCCCTTTGCACTTACATTTTAATGAGGTGGTATTAGTTTTTTGGTTTTGGTTTTAGTTTAATAGTGCTGGGTATTACACCCAGGGCCTTGCACATGCTAAGCAAGTGCTCTACCACTGAGGTATTCCCAAAGTCTGTAGGATTATTTTTAATGGATAAAGTTTTTCTTTGAAATTTTAAAAATTAATTTTGCTTTTTCAGCTCACTTCCTTCCAGTAAATTGATTAGAATTCTTCGGATGTCTGATCCTGAAAGAGGACAAACTACATTGCCTTTCCAGCCGGTGACTCAGGAGGAGGATGATGACCGAAGCTGACCTGTGATTAATGTGGGGAGGGATCTGTAAAAGGAAAGAGTTCTGACTGATTAAGGAAATAAAACAAGACTGGGTTACTGTAAAATAAAAGGAGCCCCTTTTATCTAGCCACAATAAAATGTGTAAATAAGCCTAGAAAACCAAGTACAACTAGCAGTTTAAAATTACTATTGCTTCCTTTGAGAAATATCAGTGTGATAGTGCTGATTTTAAGCCTTTTTGAGTTTGTTTGATTTTGAGGATTTGGGGTTTGGTTTTTGTTTTTTTAACCATCTACTTTTATAGATTCTCTTTTAGAAGTAACGTTTTATACATATGTACATGTACATACCTGTTTTAGTTTGGGTTTATTTCTACAGTATTTTATAAGAAAATAAAAGTTTGAGTACTGGTTTATGTTTAGTTTTGCTTTTCCAGAATATTACATTGTATAACTAAATGATCAAAAGTAGAAGGGAGGGATTTCTCATTATGTAGAGTGGGTTACAAGGGTGTCTTCGAACAAAAACTGGTTTACAGTGGATTTATTGTCTAGTTTTTGTTTATTAATTATGAGGGACTTATACAGGACTATAAATACACTGTGTAGTTCCTGCCTACAGCTAATTTTTAACCCTATGGGGCAACTGTAGATTTGGACTATAACTTTTAATTGTTGTATTTCATCAGATTTAAGATGCTCTCTGTTTAGGGCACACTTTTGAAGTACTGAGGCACCGTCTACTCTGATGCATGTATTCTCAGTCCTTTACATAGAACCACATGGTGATGGAGCTTGTCCAGCCTGCCCTGCGGCACTCTGGTTGGGTTGAAAAGCCCTCGGTTTGGAGTCCAGGGCTCTCAAGTCCAGGCTTTGCTGTGAGGACACAGGGTAGAGGGAACATACTGAGCAGGCCGGGAATGGTAGGCATAGAGCAGTGAGCAGGTAGTCGTGTGAGCCAAAGGCCACCTGGATGGGAGCACAGAGGTCAGCTGTAGACTCAGCCTGCTTTTAGGTGGTGCATACGACGATTAGATATAGTTAATTGTAAAAAAAAAAAAAAAAAGGAATTTATGAATTTTTAAAAGAAAATGTGAATAGGACTACTGTATACTTTGATCTAGGGTTAGTGCAAAACTTTTTTAAACACATTGAATACCAAAAGTATTCCTTATATTACTAGCAATAAATATTAAAATACATGTTTATAAAATTGAAAAGAAAGTATTTCAAAATGTACATTAAGAGCAGGGACATTTATGTAGTTATTGAGAAAAACTAGATTTGCTTTTGGTTGGGGAAAGGGGTCTAAATTGAGATCAGTTGCTAAATGAGAAGACCAGAAATGTGCTTTCTAATGTAAGAATTTATAGAAAGAAGAAAATAGTGCTGAATGTTTTAAGCATTCCCTACTAGCCATACAATGTCTGATTTTTAAGTTACACGTATAACTCATTTGTATCAAAACTATTTCACATCCATGTGCTTTTTTTAAATAAAAACTAGAATTTACTATTTGCATAAATTTTACTAGTAAGCAAACAAAGTTTATTGTCTGAATTTTTGTGATGGGTTTGAATGTCATACTTCTTAACACAAGTGAGAAGTATCTCAAATATTTGAGCATCTCCTGCTGCACTAAACATTATTTACTGCCTTGGAAAAGTTGGTTTCATACATCATAAGAGAAAAATAACTTTGTCTAATGTGCCAAATAGTAATATTAGGTAGAATAAAAGAATAACAAGATTGTTCTTTTAAAACGTGTTAACTTCTAAAAATAAAAAAATTGCCATGTTGAAAAGGTAATGGTGACTAACTTAAGCCTTTTTATGAATAGTAACTCAACCCCTAGAAACAAGAAGGAAATCTTCCTCTTAAACCCTATCTTCTTCATTCTTGGCACTGGAAATGATTAAAATCATTTTCATAATAACAAGTACGATGAGTTTGAATAAGCCAAGAGGTAAATTACTCCACTACTGAAATTATTAATTAGCACTAGTGATTGAGGCATTGCCTTTACATTTATATTTTACTTACAAAGAGAACTAGTGAGTCTGCCAAAGATTTGGTTTTCAATAAGTGTCCCAGGCTTCATGTGATTTGTGGCTTCCCTCCCCTCTGAGGTCTTGCTTCAAACGCTAGCTCCCACCCCACTGCACAGCCACTGCCATGGCCTTGCTGGGGCTTTCTTCATACTTCTTGCAGTTTGACTGTGCGTGTGTGTGTGTGTGTGTGTGTGTGTGTGTGTGTGTGTGTAATGGTTGCCTCCTGCAAACAGGAGAAGGTGTTGGGTGTTAGCTTTGTTAGGAATTACTCAGAGCCAGCCTTTACCAGCTTTCATTCTGAAGACCCTCCTGCCTCGCCCACCTATTCTCTCTCGGTGGGGTGAGTACTGGGAAGTGCTGGGCCTTCCCAGTGTGCCTTCACTTTGGGCTCACTGTGCAGGTGTTTGTACCAGGAGGTAGGACTGTCTTTTCAGGACAGATTTTGGGTTCTTTTGGGTACCCTGGTGTCCAAAGTGATTATAGTAAGTTTTGCTTGGCCACACAGCTTGTTGAATCATGGCATTCTAGTCTCATGTCATTTACTGAGCCTAAAACAAAGGAAGAATATTTTGAAAAGGGTACTCAATAAAAAAGTGCTCCAATGTTTAAAAATTCAGTTCCTCTGCCATACCATGCCATACTGAAACCATTATCAGAGAAAATACAGCTGGACCTTCACGGTACTATATAAAAAAAAAAAAACCAGGTTGCTCCAGGCATGTTTTCAACATGCTATCCTGTTTCTAGAATTTCTGAGGAATCTTAGTGTGCTTTCCTTAAGGTCAAAAGGTTAGAGTTTGCCCTGTTTTTATAAATCAAAACTAGTTTACTTCCGGTTTAGAAAGCAGATGTCTCCTAATAGCTTCTCTTGGAGGATACCCCTCAGCCTGCTCAGTGTGCTGCCCACATCAGTCCTGTGTAGAACACAGTATGTTGTGAGCACCGAGTTCCCCTGAGGTGATTGTCACAAAGAGCATTTTTCAGAATGAACAAGTCTGTTGAAACTATGTGCCATGTTGTCCCTCTGGGGGCTGCATGAAAAGTTGAGAAGTTGCTTTTCTTTTTACTAATTAAAGTTGTTGCTTGCTGGCCCTTGATTGTTTGGACTACCTGTTTCAAATTTAAAATTGTAAAGTAAGAATTTGGGAGGAAAATCAAATGTTACAAATTTATTTGAGACATCTGTTGACACCTTTTTGGAAGCCTTTGAAAACTCAAGCAAAAGCAATACATTTCCATCTTTTTTTACTTTTAATAAATAATATCTGTATGTGGATAGATACACTTAATCATTTAGCAGGATATTTTTATACTGCATTCATCAAAAACAGCTCTTTTCAGATTGATAGGATGCAAATGAGGTAAGAATTAAGGCAAACCCAAAAGGCATGCAAATGTACATTTATATTTACTCATAATATGAGCTTTTGTGTGGATGGACAGAAGCCAGGGGCAGCGGTGTGGGCCTGTCCAATACTACTGTACAGATAGTGACACAGCTAAGGATTAAAAGTTACATCACCGCGGGGCTCAGTGCTGTTGTCATGTAGTCAAGGGGGTACAGCGTTAGCAAAACAGGTACAGAAGTCATGTAACGTTGTCGCACATTTCTGCCAGGCTTTGGAGGAGTGTTTTTCATGAAATGATATTACACATAGCACATTGCGGCAGGTTTTGTATACCATATGATTTTAAAATTCATTAGCAAATGACATTCTCATGCACACAGTGTTTCAAACACAAGAAGCAGGTCCATTGATAGGTAGTCCAAGCAATTTGTGTGTGTGTGTGTGTGTGTGTGTGTGTGTGTGGCAGACGAGTGGATCATTGAGACTTGGTGCAGTTCATACTGTTGGCATCAGCTCATTTCTGAATGTCGCATTGCAGGAGTAATACAATGGAAGGGTCGCTCTTCGCAGCTTCTTTGAACTCATCCAGTGTAATCTGGTCATCTTTGTTCTTATCCATCTTGCTGAAAATCTTGTCCACGCGCTGCTCAGGTGTGAGGCCATCCTCATTCATTTTCATCATGATCACAGTGCCCACCATTTTGTAGATAGCCTTGAGGGAAAGGACATTGTAGATGTATTAACTAGAAACCCAGGAGGGCAGAAAAGAGCTCTTCCTCCCTTCGTCTGGCAAGCCTACTTGCCCTGTGGGTGCAGCCTCTTTCCCCAAAGGAGGTTTATTTCCTGTGCCCTAAGTTCCTATTACAACCTGTACTGCCTTTCTGAGCCACACACACCGCACACTTCCTTACATTAACTTTTCCTTCCTTGTCAGCAAGCACAGCTTAAGCTGGGAATCGTACTTTTCTCACTTTTGTAACTTCAGGGCTTGGCACAATGCCTAGCATATAGGAGGTCTTCAATAATATTGATTGGATTTTTAAATCTACTTCATTGGCTAGAGCTTAGCATTAGGAGAATCAAAGTGTTGGTGGAACATGAAGCTAAAGAGACCAAGCAAAAAGCAGACAGTAAAGTACATGTGATAAGGAATTTAAAATATATTTCAAAGGACTCCTTTAGTTTTCAGTGAGCAAGTGATACAGTCAAAGGTGAGTCTTGTGGCCAATCAGAAGTATTTTGGGTGATTGTTCTGGCTGAGACAGTGGACAGGAAGTTCAGTGGTAAGAGTAAGAATCATGGACTAGGAACAGGTTTAGGGAGGGAAATGATGGGTTCAACTTTAAATACTTCTGAGTTTGTGGTCCAGATGACATTCAACAACACTGGCCTTGGGATGTAGGAAAAAAATGTGATTCCAACTGATAAGGAATTTATAATGTGTTAAACAGTCAAGCCAGGTGTACCATTTAAATTGACCTCCAAAAGATTAGTTCAGGACGAATATGTGGATTAAGGTTGTAAATGGAAGAACAGAGTGAGAAGATTCTAATTCTTTATGTCATATTGAGAATTATTCAATCCATAACTAATTCTCAATATGAACATTTCCTAGGTGAATGTAATCTTTCTTAGAAAAATGCCTTCAAAAGATAGAGGTCTGTCTATACAAATACATGAATGGGAATGGTCATAGCAACATTATTAATGATTATCCCCATGCTTACCCACTGGTAAATAGGTGAAATATGATGTGTCTATACAATGGGATAGTATGCTAGCAACAACAAGGATGAGACTCTGATAAATGCTAGAACTCAGGACGGAGAAGATGACGCAGTTGCGACTGCCAGATTGGAAGGCTGTGCTCTGTCGCATGTCCAGAAAGCCAGGTCCCCAGAAACAAAGTAGAGAAGTGGTTGCCTGAGTCTGGCCTTGCACATGTGTGCCTGAGGAACCTTATCGTAGCCTGAGTTGGTTAAGGGAAAGGCAGACACTGCCTAACACCTGGAGTTTAAAAAGACAAATGGGCCATCCATACATAAGCTGTCCTCACTTGGTCCTTTAAAAAGATGAAATCAAAAGGCCCTGCCTTTGGCAAGGGATATGAGGAGAGCCAGCAACAAGTGCACTATGAATAAAGTCAAGGCAATAAGAAAGGCAATGAGAAATGCAGACATCAGAGATCGAACCTGGGCCTCAGCCAGAAAATCAGAAACGGTCCCACTCCCCATCTTGTATTTGGGCAATCTAGAAAGGGCATTCTCAGTGCAGTCCTGCACTCAACACGGACAGAGCTGGGGGAGGGCATGCTGGCCTCGGGATGAGGGAACAGCACGGCTCCATGAACCATGCATTCCTCTAGGACAGATGCTTTAGGGTGCCTGAGCATGCATCCAGATGTTTGGCATGATCTCCCAAACATGTCCTCACCTGTGACTCCTGGGGAAGAACACCCAAGTGTTCTCCCTCTCACTGCCACTCCTGGACCATCTATCCCGTGCCCAGATGACTTCAAGTCAGACTCTTTCTTCTCCCAGTGACAACGCCCTACTCTCCACACCCGCCTCACTCTGTTCTTGTGGCCTCTTCCCTTCTCTGACGCACTCCACTAAAACTACTCTGGCAAATCCAACTGTAAATGACTGGTAATTTTATTCCTGTCAATGGCATTTGGCATGATTGCTCACTGCTTCCCCCTGAAACATTTTCTGCGTTCCCATCTAGGACTCCTGACCATGTCTTTTTTTATACTCTGATCTTATTTTCTGGAACCCTCTTTTCTACTTGTATCTCACGTGGAGTTATCTTATGTGCCCTTGTTCACTGAAACATATGAATAAATTCTACCACACACAAAGCTGGATCCTACCAACCAAATAGATCTCAGTGAATACCTGAGAGAGTCCACAAGACCCTAGGATGGTCACACAGTGCTGGTAGGAATGCTCTGAAGAAAGTCTATTCCTGACCCATGTGCAGAGTTTGACAATAAGCATGGTGGAAGAGATCACCCTAATCCGTATGACTGCTAGCAAACCCCAACACATGAATAAAGACAATACCACACAGATAACAAAACTTTAGAAGGAAAAAAATGTTGCCCATAACGGTATAAATGTCAG